TATTTAGACCTCTATAACTGCCCAGCATTTCTCCTTTTATGATCAACATTCTTCTATAGAATCTTTGATCAGAATGTTCAGTAATAGTAGCCAGACACCATCCAATTCTTCTGGTCACATGACAAAAGGGAGCAGTTGTCCGTGGTGGTGAAGAGCCATATACTCCATTTCCTTCTCTCCTTCCTCTCTTGATAGAGTCCAATAGAAATCCACTCTTGTACCTTGGATGGCCACTTGCAGGATCCTAAGACTCCAGGCACTACACAATACAATGCAGCAGACTAGAAGGTAGAGCAGAAGCATTAACACGATTATTAGGCCAATTTTATTATTAGATTCTTAGACTCAGTCTAATTAGATTATTAGACTACGATGTCTCATGAAACCATGTTCCTAAACTTCTAAACCAGGCAATTATCCCATAAGGTGTTTGGTTGATTTAAGCGACCTCAGCATCTCTCTCTCTCTCTTTCTGTCATTGGTGTGAAGTTCTGTTCCAGTTTACAATTCTGTGAGGACTCGTGGATCCTACCACAAGAGCTCTGGGAGACAAAAATGAAGAAGCACGAAAAGCCCTGCCCTTTAGGAGTCTATTGATAGCACTGGTTTACTGGTTGATCTTTTGTTTTGCAGGAAAAAAATAAGCAGATCATAGTGCTGGGCCTAGATGGAGCAGGAAAAACCAGCGTCCTCCACTCTCTAGCTTCAAACAAAGTCCAGCACAGCGTGGCTCCCACCCAAGGTTTCAATGCAGTGTGCATCAACACTCAAGACAGACAAATGGAGTTCCTGGAGAGTAAGCCTGTCGCCCTCATTGCAGTTATAGGATAGCTGTGTTGTGTTCTTTCTTAAACTAGATCTGATCTCATCAACATAGGGTGCTTTGGGAAAGGTGACGCCGCCCCAGATTTTTCTTGATTTTCAGAATGTGTGTGTAATTTAATACTAGGGTACAGCATAGGACAAATAACTTTTTGCTCTTTGGATTTTTTCTCCTTGTAGCAGTGCTGGCGATAACAGGGAGTTTGGAGAAAGGCTTTAGCTTTCCTCCTAGAATCTCCACGAACCTCCATTCTCTCACATGACCCCAAACAAATAAGCAATTTGAGTAACTACGTTGTATTTCCTCTTCTACAAACAGAACCATACATCCAGTACAGAAGTCTAGACTCTATAGAAATCGTGCAGCCACTACCTCTCTAAAGAGTGCTCTTTCTCTGAGCGGGAGATACTCTTTACTCTCTTTCCCTGGAGGATCTTACCCATACTCATGGCATTGCGTGGCATGTATAGTGTAATGACTTCTAAATTTCTATATCCAGCCCAAGCCTCCAACCATCTCCAGACATCGCCACTTGTGTGCCAAAACAAAATGTTGATGTTTCTGCTTATCAGTTTCTATCCCTGTAATTCACTGGTCCTCACCTACCAAGTTCCTTAAACAAACAAACAGACAAATAAAAGTCTCAAAATACCCAAAAGAAATTTGAAGAATGATCAAATGCTAGGAAGACATGGGCAAACCTACCAATGGAGGGAGAGCTTTCATCATTTTGTCAACTAGCAAAGATCCACAGGAGTCGAATGCAGCAGGTTTAATGAACTGGGCAATGTAAAATTCTGCGTCCACATAGAATACACATTCTTTTCAAACACATGTGAGGGGAAATGTCATGGTGTGTGCACCATACTTTCAGATTGGCATAAAGAAAGGGTGTGTCGGTAGATAGATAAATAGATGGTACAGCTGTGGCAAGGTGTTAACGGTGTGAAGCTAGGTGACAGATGTGAAGGTGTTCATTGTACTGTTTATTTAGCTCTTCTGTCAATGTCAGTTTGACATTTAGAAACATTTTGATAAAGGAAAAATTGAGTATATATTTGGAATTTTAAAAATATTATTCTAAACAGCTTATCGTTGAAAGAATGGAATCCTGATGAGAAAATGAAAACATTAAGGAGTGAGAAATTGTTTTTTAAAAACTATCAGCCAAAAGTTTGGCATGCAGTGTGCAGTATAGATAATGCATTTAAAGAATACAGCTTTAATCCAAATAGTTCTATCCAAGAGGACAGCAATTGAAGATGTATGGGTTGGATAAATAAGGTGTTCGTTTTACTGTTCTTTCATCCCCTCTGTCAGTTTGTCATGCTATGGTGACTTGTGTGATGCTAGAAGCACACAGCAGGGTCACCACGGGGGACAGATTTCTGCAGAGTTTCCAGACTAAGAACAGGCAAGGAATGGGGATTCGTCTGAGGGATTAGCCACCGAAACCTTATGACCAGCATCAGAACATTTTATGACATAGTGCTGGAAGATGATCCTCTCAGGTTGGAAGGGACTTAAAATAGGTCAAAGAAAAAGCTACCTTAAAAGTAGAGTCATATTACTGGCACGGATAAAGCAAAACTTTATGGACCTTCATATACCGATGGGGCACAATTCAAGAGGAGAAAAAATGACTGCACATACCCATGAATGTGTAATTTACGAAGTATGGATCTGGGACAATTAAATGGAGCACACAGAACTTGATACCCTAGGCATTCGTGAACAGAAATGGGCTTTTAAATTATGCAGTCACATGGTTTACTGTGTTGGAAATGTCAGTTCAAGAGAAATGGCATCATATTCATCATCAAGAAGAACATTTCCAAATTATCTTTAAAGTACAATGCTGTTTGTGATCAGATAGTATCTATATGTCTGTTTCTACAACAATATTGTTGTTTATACAACAATAATAGAACTATTATTCAAATTTACACACCAAACGTTTGAGCCAGTAATGAAGAAATGGAAGAATTCTACCAAACTAATTCAGTCTGAAATAAACATGCAATCAAGATAACACTGATAATTATTGTTGACTGGAATGCAAAGGTTGGAACCAAATATCAGTGGTTGAAAAACATGGCCTTGGTGATAGAAGCAAAGCTCGAAATTGCTTTTCAAGATCAATGACTTCTTCATTGCATATACCTTTTACAACAACATAAATAGTGATGATACATGTAGAACTCACCGGGTAGAAGGAACAGGGACCAAATTGACTGCATGTGTGGGAAGAAATGATGGAGAGTCCTATATCAACCAAAAGAAGGCCAGGGGCCACCTGTGGAACAGATCATCAATTGCTCACAAGCAAGTTCAGATTGAATCTGAAGAAAATTAACACAAGTCCACAATAGCCAAGATATGATCTTAAATATAGTCCATCTGAATTTCAAGAACAGAGTTGACCTATTGAACACTAATGATTGAACACTTTGCAAAGGAGTCATGGCATGGCATTATGAATATCACATATGAAAAAAGTGAAATGGTCATTAAAAAGTAAAAAAGAAAAAAATGAGAGAGAGAGAAAAGACCAAAATGCATGTCAGAAGAGACTCTCAAACTTGCTCTAGAAAGTACACTAGTGAAAGCAAATGCAAGAGATGATGAAGTAAAAGAACTGAATAGGCCATTTCAAAAGGCAGCTGGAGAAAAATTATAGTGAAATGTGCAACGAGCTGGAGTTAGAAAACCAAACGAAGAACATGGTCAGCATCTCGAAACCTGAAAGCACTAAAGAAAAAACTCAAGGCTTGAGATGTACCATTGAAGGATTCTACAGGCAAAATATTGAACGAGGCAATATAAAATAAATCAAACTCATCACCATCAAGTTGATGCCAACCCATAGAAATCCTGTGTAAGACAGGGTAGAACTGCCTGTGTAGGTTTCTGAGACTGTAGCCTCATCTTTCTCCACGGAGTGGATAGTGTTTTTGAACTGCTGACTTGTGTAATCACTGTGCCACCAAAGCTTCTCTTTTGAATGAGGAAGGAAACATCAAAAGAAGATGAAAGAGATACACAAAGTAACTAGCAAAGAGAATTGAATGACACTCATCCTACTGAGGGGTAAGCTAGGATCAAGAACTGAGAGAATTGAAGGAAGATGTCCAAGCTGCACTGAAAATATTCGTGAAAAACAAGTGTCCAGTAATTGACAGGATACCAATGGAAATGTTTCAGCAAAATGTTGCAGTATCGGAAGCACTACTCGTCTGGGCCGGGAAATCTGGACGACAGCTACTTGACCACCTCCTGACTGGAAGAGCTCTCTCTGTGTGCTCATTCCAAAAAGAAGGGACTCAACAGAATGCAGAGACTATCACGCAATAGTAATATCACATGTAATTTTGCTGAAAAGAAGTAAAAATGGTTGCAGCAGCACATTGGTATTGGAGCTCCCAGAGATTCAAGCCGAATTCAGTCAGCTGGGTCTTGACTAAAAGCTGAGAATATCAGAAAGATGCTTACTTGTGTTTTGAAGCATGAAAAGGCCTTTGACTGTGCGGACCATAACAAACGATGGATAGCCTCGAGGAGAATGGCGGTTTCTGAACTTCATTGTGCTCATGAGGAACTGTGCACAGATGAAATGTGGGCGTTCAAACAGAACAAGGGAACACTGCATGGTGTGAAATCAGGAAACGAGGTGTATGTATGCAGCACATATGAATTATTGTACTCTGGAATAAAGAATGAGAGGGAAATTAAAGCATTCCCAGGCCAACAAAAGCTGAGATCCTTACCAGACAGCCTTTAAAAAGTATGACTGGGAGTTCTGTAGATGGAAGGTGAAAAACGCTGCAAAGTAATTCAAAGCTGTCCATCAAAAGAGACCTTTAATCAAGGGAAGTGCATGGACAAGGATGAGGGGTGGTAATAAGACATATTCTTGCTCAACTAAATAAGAGAACACACACAAAAATAGGCAAGAGACAGGAATGGATATTTTTTAAAAAACCAGTTTTACTGGCATATACTTCACATATCATAGAACTTAATTGTTCAGTCATGTTAAGAAGAGTTGAGCAATCATCGCCACCTTTCATTTCAGAACATTTTCTTCTCGTACTCGTTGTTAGTGCCCCGTTTCCCATCAAACCTCCCTTACCGTTTCCTTAAGTAAATTTAAAAAAATCATTTTGTTGGGGGCTTGTACAGTTCTTAGCACAATCCATCCATCCATCCATTGTGTCAAGCACATTTGTACATTTGTTGCCATCATCATTCTCAAAATGTTTTCTTTCTACTTGAGCCCTTGATATCAGCTCCTCATTTTTCACCCGCCCTCCCCGCTCCCACCAATAGTCTGTAATCCCGTTGCTATCTCTGTAGATTAATCTGTGCTGGATTCCATATACAGAATGTTATACAAAACACAAACAGGATGCCAACAAAACAACCCAACAACAATGACCAGACAAACAGAAAACCTCAATAGAAAAGACAGCAGGAGCTATTAAAAACTGAAACTTTAACATGGGTCAAAAGGGAGATCAAATGATAAGGTTGTTCAGTTTAACCTACCGAGGTCCTTCCTAACGGACTGTGCGCTGCTCTCTGTGGGATGGCAAGGCTGTGCACACCCCCAGGCTATGCGCAGAGGCAAGTCCATGGGAGCTTAATCCAGGTGGGAACCCTTCAAATGGGTTTTGGGTTTCGACTGTCATCCATAGGTGTCTGCAAATTTAATTTAAGGTGGTCGTAATTTAAGCTCTAATACCTGTAAATGAATATTTTAAATGAAAGGACACAGATTTGAAATGCAGCATGTATTTTAATTTGCCATATGGTTTTTTTAGTAGCCTTGCTTCATTTTTGAAGTCTTAACTGATAAACATGTGGTGAGTGAAAAGGCTGCTACATTTCACAGGATCAGGAAACCCCCACCCCCCTGCCTCTCCCTCACTCTTTTTTTTTTTTACATTCTTCTTAATATGTGAGAGTTTTTATTATTTCCATTCTAGCGGTTTCATTTAATTAATCTAGTTTTCTTGCCCCATGACATTCTCATCTTTGTTTAAAGGAATTGTGATATAGGTGTGATTGTTCTCATATAGGTGATATTTTTAAAGGTGTACCATACTTTCAGGTGGTATTCATTATTTTGTGAGCAAATTTATTGCTTTTCCCCCATGTGGAAATAATCTGAAACAGGAAACATCTATTATTATGTTTAATATCTCGCATATGTTTAACATGTGTGATTCTACAAAAACATGAACAACTTGTGAGGAGTAAATGTTCCCACTGACTCCTTCCCCAGTAACATTCCCATTTCTACTAAGAATGGGGTTCACTCTGTTATAGCAGTATGCATACATTACCTAGACTTGTCCAACCTGACTCTTCAGTGGACACTCCTGAAATTCCGTTCTTTTAAAATAATGGTTTATCGTGTTTGGGGTCGAGGTTTGCACAACAACTTAAGTTTCCATTCAACAATTTCTACCGAGTTTGGTGGTTCAGTCATGGTTAGACATTCTTCACCACGTGCTGAGCATTGTCATGCTTGTCCATTCTGGTTGTTCCATTCGCAATTTCTTCTTATTGTACTTCCTTTACTGTTCTCTGTAGTTGGCGGCAGTGAACCTTTCCGTTCTTATTGGGAAACATACCTGTCCAAGGGATTGCTGCTGATCTTTGTGGTAGATTCAGCAGATCACAACCGATTACCTGAAGCCAAAAAGCACCTTCATCAATTGATTGGAACAAATCCGATCCTCCCTCTGGTTGTGTTTGCAAACAAGCAGGTAAAAATTAGTACAAATAGAGATTGGGCTTAACAGTTTTGTTATTAATTCAGAAAAATGGAAATGTGGGTTTTCAATAACTAGAGATTCAATTATATTCTGTATATTCAATTCAACTTATACTTAGTACTGGATGTGAAACATTGGCATATAGCTTATCAAAATCCAAACTAAATAACATATACCATAGTATATGATATATGTATGTTACTCCTTCATGATGTTACTCCTCCATGATTTTTTTTAAAATAAATTATGAATTCCCCCCTCCCACAAAGAAAATTATGAACCTCTCAGCAAAACTGTCTTGCCAAAATGAGAGGGAAATAAAACATTCCCAGACAAACAGAAGCTGCAAGAATACATACCCACCACATCAGCCTTATAAAAAGTACTAATGTACTAATAAGAGTTCTGTTATAATAATAAGGAAGATCAGGAAGGGACAAGACACTAGAAAGTCTTTAGAGCTGTACACCAAAAAGGGAGACCTTTAAGGTAAACGCATGGATACGTATAAGAGGTAGTCGGAATAAGGTAAATATTCATCCTTGATAATTCTAAATTTTTTTTAACAACAAACACATAAACAGTAGGAATAAAATTGTTACATAATTATAGGCTACATAAACGGTAAAGACATAATTAGTGATAACAAGAAAAGGAGAGGGCAAAAGAAATGGCATTGATAAAAAATTTCTTGTGTTACTCAAATTTGTACCACTTTACCACAAGTACTATAAATACAAGCTCTCACATGTAACATTCATGGTAACCACTAAGAAACGTATTTTAAAAAATACACAAAGAGAGAAGGGAGCCATAAAAGCTCACTACAATAAATCAACAAGACAAAAGCAGGCAGTACTAAAGGACAAAGAAGGCTTCACACACACACATAACAAAATGTCAGAAGTAAGTCACTTCTTATCAGTAATTACAGTAAATGTAAATGAACTACATGCTTTAATTAAAAGACAAGAGTAGCTGAATAGATAGAAAAATCATGATCCAACTATATGCTGTTTGCAAGAGGTACACTTTCAACCCATGGACACAAATAGGTTGAAAATGAAGAAATGGGCAAAATATTCTGTAGAAATAATAACCATTCTTAATGTCTGTGTTAGTCTGGGTACTTTAGAGAAACAAATCCACAGAAACTCATGTATAAGAGAGTTTTATATAAAGGGAAAGTGCACATCAAGAAACCATCTCAACCCAGTGCTGCCCAAGCCCACAAGTCCAACATTACTCCATTAACCCATATGCCCAATACCAATCTACAAAGTCCTCCTCCATCTCACAAAACAGACACTATGATGCCGACTGCAGGAGGAAAGCCGAGTCAGTGAACGTGTAAGCATCTCAGTGCTGGCAAGAGTCTCCACACGGCTGCTCCAGCACCGAGGGCTGCATCGGGGTAGGTCCATGTGGCTTCTCCTTGGGGATGTCTTACAGGAAGTCAGCTTTGCAAGCTGAAGCAGGGAACTGCTAAGGCAGCTGCAACCTGTGCAACCATCACAGAGCAAGAGACCCGAGAACTCAAAAGGCTAGGCTCACCGAGTCATTTATCTCTCTGCCCTTCAATTAACCCCACATGTGTTTATTGGCCAGGTTGGCACAACAAACTAACTTAATGTTACACAAAGTAAACTTTAAGACAAAATCTGTTAGAAGAGATAAAACTGGACATAAGTGAGAGAAGGGTCAGCTAATTAAGAAGATTTAGCAATCATATATATGAAGCCAACATTGGCACATCGAAGTATATAAACAGGTAGAATTAAAGGGAAAACAAAATTGTAGTACAATAATTGTTGGAGAATTCACAACACCATTTTCAGTATTAGAACACCTAAGAGAAGATCAACAAGGAAACTAAAGCCACAAGTGACACTGTGAACCAGCTTGCCTTAACAGACACACAAACCAGTCTCAGCAATCTGCCCTTGGGCCGATTCTCACTCATCGTGGCCCCGTGGGACAGCAGAGAACTGTCTCTTTTTGAGAGTCTGAGGCTATACATCTTCATGAGAACAGAAAGCCTCCTGTTTTCCCATGGGGCGATTGCTAGGGTTAAGCTCCTGACCTTGTGGTTCACAGCCCAACATGTAATTCACTCTGCACCACCAGGGCTCCTTAACAGACATACAAGTGGACTTCATAAAGTGTGTGGGAAATTCCATGATCTTTTTGAAACCCTTTCAATACAGCCCATTCCACTCTAAAATAGTACATAACGTGCACTCTAACCCAGTGGCCATTGGAGCCCTGGTGACATAGTGGTTATGGCTTGGGCTACTAATTGCAAGGTCTGCAGTTTAGACCACCAGCCACTCCAAGGGAAAAAGATAGGACTTTCTGCTTCCCGAAATTTGCTCTTATCGCACTGCTATGAGTAGGAATCAGCTCAATGGTAATGTATATGATTTTGCTAGTCCACATGTGCATTCTCCAGGACAGACTATCTTTTAGGTCACAATGAAAATCTTCATAAATTTTAAAAGATTGAAATTATACAGAATGTTTGTTTTCTCTGACCACACAGAGTGAAAATAGAAATGCACAATGAAAAAAAACACAAACCAAAAACCACCACCACCCTGGGAAATACCCAGATATATGGAATTTAAAAATAGCACATTTGGTTATTTAGAAAGAAACAACAAAGAACAAAGTAAGAAATAAAAGGGAAATGACAAATTTCTAAGAGTCAAATGAACAGGAAAGTTGTTGCGTTAGGTGTGGTTGAATCAGCTGTGGTTGAATTAGCAACCCTCTGTACAACCGAATGAAACACTGCTTGGTCCTCACAGTGTTTATGTTGGAACCCATTGTGGTAGCCACTGTGCCAGTCCATCTCTTGGAGGGTCTTCCTCTTTTCTTGATACTCTAGTCTACTATGATGTCTCTCTCTAGGGACTGGTTTCTCCTGATAAAGTGTCCAAAGTACAAGCAACAAAACCTCACAAGTACAGCACACCAAATGAAGGAAACTTTTAGCAAAAAAAATGTGTACCTGAAAAAACAAGACAGATATCAAAGAAAGGAAGTATTGAAAATCAGAGAAGAAATAAATAAAATGCTGAAAAACAATAGAATTTTTAGAAGTTGGTTCTTAGAAAAGACAAGTAAATTAACAAGCCTTTAGCTAGACTGATAAAATAAAAGATGCAAAAAATCAACACGAAAAAATGAAAGGGGATATTCTACCTGACCTGGTAGAAATAAAGAGAATTATGAACAACTCTGGCAACAAACCAGATAACCTAGATAAAAAGGGACAGATTTTTAAAATCAAACAATTTATCCAAACTGACCCAAGAGGTAATAGAAAGTTAAATGGACTCATAAGTAAAGAGATTGAATCAGTGATCAATAACCTTAAAAGAAAAAAAAAAAAGTCCTGCGCTAGACAACTTCACTGGTGTAATTCTACCAAACAGAGGAGAATTGACACCATTACAGTTTCAACTCTTTCAGAAGGTAGAGAAGGAAGGAGTACTCCTAATTCATTCTATAAAGCAGACAGCCCGAGACTCACATTGGATAAAGATACCACAAGAAAACTGCATCTCTTAGAATATAGATGCATCAATAGAATAAAGGAAAAGAGCCACATGAGCATCTCCATGGATGAAGAAAAATCATTTGGTAAAATTCAGCACCTTTTTGTGATTAAAACCCTAATGAAGATAGGAACAAAAGAGAAATTCCTCAAGATGATGCAGGGCATATATGAAAACTCAACAGCTAACTTTATGCCTAATGAAGAAAGACTCACAACTTTCCCCTTGAAATTGGCACCAAGACAATGGTGTCCACTTTCATGATTTCTTTCTTTTTTAAAACTTGTTTTTTTTTTAAATAAGCAACTTTGTTGCTTCTCAGCTAGATGGCCGCTTGTTTATTTTCAAGCCTTTAAGACCCCAGATGCTTTATCTTTTGATAGCCAATGCATTGGAAGTACATGCCTGAGCAATAAGACAAGAAAAAGAAAGAAAAAATATCCAGATTGGAAAAGGAGTAAAATTATCTCTATTCACAGATGGTATATTTAAGTCCTATAAATGGATCTTACATATAAAAAAATTCCAAAGAACTCATAACCAAATTTTCAGGGAAAATAGAGAAATTTAGCATTTTTTTTCTTTGTATAATCGTTTTATTAGGGG